CCAGTGAAGCAACGTCCTCCACAACTAGACTGAAGAACAAAACAACAGCAACTTGTCTGTTCCCCTTCCCCCAATTCCCCAGTGCTGTTCCTATCCCCCCAATTCCCCAATAAAAATCTTTAAAAAAAAGCAATCCAGCCAACCCAAATTCTCTTCTTTCTGCCTTTCCCAGGGCTTCCCCTCAAATGGCAATCTATACAGAGCATTTGAAATCAATTTCAATCAACAAGCATTTGTAGAGTACAAAATACTTTATCACCTACCAGTATGGCATCCCTGATGAAGAAAATGGGGGTGTTATTCCCAACAAGATCCCAATTACCATCCTCTGTGTAAAATTTCACTGCAAACCCACGAGGGTCACGAACTGTGTCAGCTGAGCCTGATTCTCCAGCTAAAAGATTCATATGGGCAAAATGAAGCATAAGCCAGAGTATTTTGCATCCAAGAAGCCTAAAGTCATAAAAAAACATTAAGGTCTAACCTTTCCAATGCATTTCTTAGAAGTAAATTAGGTATTTAAGTGCCTGGAGGTTATTATTTCGCCCACCCACCAGCTAAATTGGTCTACAAAATAAACAAAAGAATTAAGAGTAATAAGAGAGTATAGGCAGACCTCATTTTATTGCGCTTCACTTTATTGCGCACCACAGATGTTGTGTTTTTTACAAATTAAAGCAAGACTCTCCACCCAAAAAATGATTACGACTCACTTCTTTTCAATACTCTCTTTATTGCAGTGGTCTAGAGCCAAAGCCACAATATCTCTGAGGTATGCCTATATATGTAATAACAACTGAAAAGACTGTCAATTTAACATCATAAGATAGCTTTGTTCTCACAGGTCATTAAGACAAGGGATGAGAACAATTATAAAGATTAAGATAGTGAACAAAGAGAATAAATGAGTTATCAAAATTATGAGGTTAATATTTTAAGAAAATGAGTTAAAATATTGGTTCTTATTCTTAATTTTGTTTATTTGGGCATTTCGAAGTATTTTTTTAAATGCACACAGACTGAAATAGAAACAGAATCACAACATTATGGTGTGTTGAGTGTAGTATGATAGATCTAACTCTTACTAGCTCTGTTACATAAGAAAAATCACTTAACCTGTCTGAAATAGAAAGAATCCCACTTTGCAACATAAATATACGGATTAGTTTATGGTTAATGTCTCTAAAGCACCTAACCATAGATGGCACAGAGCTCATTCTCAATAAAGGGCAGCTGTTATCTTATTTTTTAATAAGAGCCCCAATCCACACTTCCGTTTGAGGCTACCACTTGTAGGAAAGTTCCTTCCAAACATCACAGAATTGCAGAGGTGGCCTCTACCTAAGTGTGATTTCCTAAGACCTCAACAAAAGAATTATAAGTAACTTCCTACATGTTTCAAAATATTTTTTCTACTGTAAAACCTGGCTATCATTTGGAGGACTGCTTATTTTTTATCTTCTGATAAGGTTTTCTTGAAATTAAGTTATAAGTGCCCCCAAATAAGTTACAGGGTTGAGTTAAGCAATACCAGCCATGCAAAAGGGCTGACCTACCAACCGTGGAGAATCGAACTGCAATGGGAGTCCTCTTTCCAACATGCTCAAACACCTTTGCCTTGGAGTATCTGGTAATGTCGTGCGTGACCTCAAAATAGCCAAAAGCCCCTAACGAGAAAAACACAGAAATCCTCATCATGAGACCATCACTCAGTCAATCAAACCCTCAATAGGTATCTGGGTGACAAGAGAAACTGATGGTTAGCACTGGCTTTTGGAAGCTTCCAATATGATAGGGGAAGGGGAGATGTCAAAGCACAAAATGAGGAGAGTAAAATGCAAAGCCCTCTTATCATTCAGTGCTAAACTGAGTGCTTTGCAGCTAGAGCCAAGTGGAGAAGACAAGTGGGGCTGGAAGTCACTACTCAAGGTTGACCCAATGACACAGGGCCTAAGAGGACCTTGAAGTACAGGTAGGACCTAGGAGGAGAAAAGAATACACAGAGAAAGAAAGAATAAACATTTAGGAAGGACACCACAGAGCCAAACAACACACTAAAAAAAATACCCAAGTCATCATGGGAAAGCCATGCAAAAAAAGCTGGAGAAGATAGAAGAGGAAACAAAGGAGTCAGGAAGTCCTCATTAGGAGTCCAAGTAAGCAGCTCAGAGAAAAACTTTTTCTTTCTTTCTATTGGGCTTTACTTTTCCTGAGTTTTTAGCTATCCTTTAAATACCAATCCATCTTTTGTTTCTGTAATAAAAGCAAGAGAAAAGTTTTATAGAACTTTAGGACAAGAAGGAAAAATCACCACAAACCCACCACCCTAACACAAGCATCTTCAATTTTGCACAGTTAATGCACCATCAAAATCTAGTTACAGTTACAGTATGTCTGTGTCTGAATATCCATATTCTTATTTCTTCACTAAACTGCAGAATGGAAGAAAAGGAAGATTACTTTTATTTTTAGTGAAATAAAGAATTATATATATATATATATATATATATATATATATATATATATATATATATATACTGTTCAATCCAGGGAAATAACCATCACTTAATTACTAATTCCTCTTGTGATGGACATTTTTTCCTTCCTCCCAGGAATGGTGATTTAGCACTCCTATTAAAGGATCTCCAACCTTCTGAGAAATAATTTTTAACCCAGCTCTTATGAAACAATCCTTTTACAACAAATGGACATGGTTCTCACCTGCTCCTTTAGCATGCACAACTCTCTCAGGAATTCTCTCCCGGTCAAAGTGAGCCATTTCATCGGTGAAAACCACATCCTGAACAACAAAGGGCCCACGGGGCCCTACTGTCATAATATTCAATTTGTCTCCTATTGGATTGCCGGCCCCAGTGGTGAGGACATCAGGGCGCTAAGTGAACATGAAAGGAAAAAAAGTGCAGGAGAGTCAGTACCAAAAAAACCATTAATTTACATTGTCATAGGTACATGGTTTTGCGATTTTTATACCTTCTTCCCAAAGTCTTTCTAAATTTCCTATGTCCAAAGTACTGAAATACAAGATATACCATTGTCTGAGATTTATGGTCAGGTCTCAGAAGCCCTTGGTAAACCTCAACACCAATCTGCTAAGAAAACTGCTCTGAAGAACATAAGATGAATCAATAACCTGCCAGCCTGCTAGGTTCCTGCTCTAGATAGGGCCACCAGGCTCCACACAGGCCACCCCCAGATGGGAATCCCCAAAAAGAGATATGTGCTTCACACTGAATGTCCAAACTCATGGAGAGAAGACGGTCTCTGTAGAAGCCATGCTAGTTAACGCTTTATTCAGAGCTCATAAATGCTTTATTACTGCTATAGATAATCAAGTGGGTCACCCTGTACAATACATTCATTTCTCTCAAACAGTATACACCTGCCTTTTGCGATCTCTTTTCAATTAAAAAAAAAGTCAATGGATGTATATAGTATTAATTTTCTAAAGATGTCAAATGTCTGAAATGGGATAGGTTATTTTACTGTGATAAAGAATTAGTTTTGGGCCGGCCGAGTGGCGCGATGGTTAAGAACTCGCTTGGGATGCCAGAGGGCCCCGGTTCGGATCCCACATATGAGGGCCAGTGACACTGCCCTCTACAGCTAAGATGCTGAACAACGGCTCAACCTGGAGCTGGGCTGCTGTGAGTCGCCGGCGACGGCATGGGCTGCAGTCCCTGTGGCACTGGGTTGCCATGGGCTACCGTGTGTAGCCAGCAGCCAGCGTGAGCGGCCAGCAGCCGCAGTGAGCGGCCGTCCAGAAGCCGGTGACTGATCTGCCTCGCCCGGGAAGAGCGCAATGATGGTGCCAACTTGGGCCAGTGAAGCAACGTCCTCCACAACTAGGCTGAAGAACAAAACGACAGCAACTTGTCTGTCCCCCTTCCTCCAATTCCCCAGCACTGTTCCCATCCCCCCATTAAAAATAAATAAATAAATAAATAAAAAGAATTCGTTTTAATCCACTCAATTCTCCAATTTCAGTTACATCACAAGCCTCTCAGCTGTCCCTTCTCTAGGGCAGAAGCAGCGTTTTTTTAAGCTCCGCAAGATCCCAGGCAGCTCTTAGCTTCATCTTGTTCCATGGTCATCAACTCTACTTTTGACCACAGACAACTGCCTCTCCAATGTCTTCCCCTGGTCACTGGGAAATTAGGCAGATGTGTGGGTGAAGCAAAGCTAAGGCACCTCCATCCAGGGAGAATGACTCAAAAAGGTCTACTGACAAAAGTCAACGGTACCAACTTCACATACCCAGAAAGGCATTATGCTCAGAGTTTCCACAAACCCGGAGTGGAGTATATAACTTTGACTCTCATGCACATCTGTCCTGAATGTTAAAATAAAGTCAATACCTGTCTCTTCTCTAGAAGGGAATATTTGGGGGAAGGAGAATCACTTAAAAAAAACTATAAAAGGGCCATGAGCTCTGTAGGAAAATGTACTGAAACTTACTCACTAGAATTCTCTGCACAATGGAATGGGAAGAGGTCAACGTGGCACTATGGAGAAATCACCAGTGTTGGCATCACAGAGCAGGGGTCCAACTCCAGCTCTGCCAACTACCAGATGTGTAGCTACTAGCAAGTTACTCATTACTTCTGAGTTTCAATTTTGCATCTGCAGAATGGACAAAAAATAACTACCTCCCAGAGTTAGGACATGGGTTAAAAGAGCTAAATGTGTGCAAAATGCAAGCCACATACCAGGCACATATATGCTACCACTTCGCTGGGCTGTGAGAAAGTGACCTGATAGCAGAAGCAAACCATTTTTGGGTCTTACTTTCTAGAAACGATGACAGACATGTAGGCTCCATCCACACTCTCTCACCCTACCCCTTTCCCATCCAGCAGCAAACCCTTCCAAACTGTACAAAAGTTTAAGGGTCCAGTCAGCAGTTACCACCCAATCACGCCACTCTCTGGGAGATATACTTGTGACACTGTGTACTTCCATTGAAAATTTAAAGCAGAAAATGAATCAGAAAAAGTGAGTAAAACTGTGTAACTTCATCTTCAGTGTAAACCTAAAACCTTGATTTTTCAACCTTGGCTGTCACTGGAATCACCTGGGGGGCTTTTTAAAGCATACTGAAGCCTGGGTCATCCTCCTAGAAATTTCTATATACAATAATTAGTCTGGGTAAGGCTTGGGCACTGGGATTTATTTTTTATTTTTATTTTTTGAACTCCCCAGGTGATTCCTAAGTGAAGCCAGGATTTAGAACCACTGCCCTAAAGCTTTTGGATGATCCACAATTAAAATAATGAGTCTTTTCATCATCTGAACAAGCCAATAAAGGAAACCTAAAAAAAAAATAAAGTGACAGTGCAAAAATGTGAAGAGTATAAGAAAGAATACCAAGATGCACAGTAAAAGGAAAAAGGCAAATAGATCAGAATGTCATTTATGTACATCCCTTCATCCCTAAAACAGGGAAAAGGCTGCTGTTAAGAAAAGAGATGAGACCACATCACGTGTCCCCTCCTCAAGACCAGGTCAAGGTGATAAGGTCAAAAATAAAAACGGTGCCCAAAGGAGGCAGTTGCAGAGTAGCTGGATGAATGAATAAGTGAAGAGCTAAAGAATGAGATGGCCTCACCTGAAGACACTGAGTCATGGAATCCTAGAGTGGGAATGCTGGAATTTTGCCACCAATGGGCCTCCCTCCCACCCAGTGCAGGAATTTGAATTGGACTGCAGGGCGCTCACTGATTTCTTTCTTTTTGTGCCCCACAGAACAAAATATTATAATTGCCTATTTACCTCACTGTTTTTCCTCCTTAGACAGTGTATATTCCTTTTACATCTCTATCCCTGACACCTTATATGATGCTCAGTTATCAACAAGCGCACACAACAAATTCTTGTGGATTCAACAGGTGAGAAATTACACTTTGGACCAACATGAAATGGTCAAGAAAGATTATTTCAGTAGGAGAAAGCAGCAACAGCCAATCCCTCTCCCCACATCCCCCCTCCAAAAAAATAAAAGGGAAATATCTGAATTTCAAACTTCAAATTCTGATCAAACATGTTTAGAAAAACTTGTTATGAAAACTGCTGCGGAAATTGGCAAAGTACTTTGGTTTGGCTAAAAACTAGCACCATGAAACAAGTAGGGACTCAAAGTTAAATTCCATTTTGGCTTTGCTCTTTTTATTTTTTCACTCAGGTTAAAGCATGAATATAGAAATTTTCCTGGGAGGAGTAAGGTTGGCTTTCTCTGGTGAAATATTGGGTTGTCAGAAAAGTCATGACGTATTTTTTCTGTTTTTCATTGCAAAAGTGCATCATGACTTTTCCGACAACCCAATATTTTATCAACATACTTACCACTGATCAGTGAGTGCCCTCTGCTCACACAAGTTCCAAGAGCTTACTAAACATCACGTTCTGTTTTTAAATTGAAAAAGAGTGCTACAACCAATCCCTAACTTTGAATCCCAAAGGAGTCAAATGAAAGCTTCACATTCTCACAGATCAATACAGCACATACCTGATATTTTCTAGCAAATTACTTCCCAACACTCTACATTTACTAAACAAAGACTCATCAAGTACCTACAATGAGCACATCCATGTACATTAAACCAAAGTCTACCCTGGCTCTCAATTTTTTGGGGGGCGTAGGGGGGGGTGGCAGTGCTCCAGCCCTCCTGCCAAGATCCGGAGAAGGGGAGAAATTTCTCTGAGAGGAGAGTTTGCGGAAAAGACCCAGGCCTGCACAGGGGCCTCCACTTGCCTCTTTAGAAGCCAGCAGTCCAGGCCACAGGCAGCAGGCATTTTTCCTGCTCCCCCTGCCCCCGGGGGAGGGGGAGGTCTGGGAATCTCCAGAGCTGCTTAAAGGCAGAGTATAAATTCAACTAGGGGGCAATCTCACCAAGCCCTCTCAGCCAAAACTGCTAAACCACATTGTCCAATCAAGCCTCTACCAGCAATAAAGGTCAGTTTTGATCTCAACCCATCCACCCCGCTGACTCCTTTATTCTCTCTCAGCTTGAAAATGGGATGTGTGTATGAAGTCTTACTTATTAGACACATTCAAACCTCAAAACAACAATCATAGCTTGCTATGCAGGCATTTGTCTATGCTCTTTACTGAGGTTATCACATTTAATCCACTTCCCTAAAGTAAGTTCTATTATTAGTACTTACATACAGAAGCATAAATGAGGCACAGAGAGGTTATACAACTTCCTCAAGGTCACCTACCTAGAAAGGGGCAGAACCAGGGTCGGCCGAGTGGCGCGATGGTTAAGAACTCGCTTGGGATGCCAGAGGGCCCCGGTTCGGATCCCACATATGAGGGCCAGTGACACTGCCCTCTACAGCTAAGATGCTGAACAACAGCTCAACCTGGAGCTGGGCTGCTGTGAGTCGCTGGCGACGGCGTGGGCTGCAGTCCCTGTGGCAGTGGATTGCCATGGGCTACTTTATGTAGCCAGCAGCCAGCATGAGCGGCCAGCAGCCACAGTGAGCGGCTGTCCAGAAACCAGCGACTGACCTGCCTCGCCAGAGAAGAGCGCAATGACGCAATGATGGTGCCAACTTGGGCCAGTGAAGCAACATCCTCCACAACTAGATTGAAGAACAAAACGACAGCAACTTGTCTGTTCCCCTTCCCCCAATTCCCCAGCACTGTTCCCATCCCCCCAATTCCCCAATAAAAATCTTAACGAAAAAAAAAAAAAAAAACGGGCAGAACCAGAATGTGAACCCAAGCTGAGTTAACTCAAAGAGTTAAGACTGACTCTTAAAACCCAAAGACTATATATAAGGCCTCTTAACCCTCCATCGGGCTCAACTAATCTCACAGATTCACTGCACACAAATTTTCAAGTATCTAACGGTTAACTTCAGTATCGT